TGAAAGAATGAGATCTTAATCAAACGTCACATTACATCCAAATATTATCCAAAATGTGTTCGTTAACTTTTCAAATTTAATAGAAATGACAGATAGATTTATTGTGTGATGTTATTTGCTGTGTATCGTTGTATCAACTTTGTATACAATCTTACTTCATTAATTTAATGTGAATTACTGAAGAGAATCTTAACAGGTCGAAATATTTAATTGTTTAATAATTTATCGTTTTCTGTAATAATGTCCTGCGTTGGCTCTTATTAGAGACTTTCTTATTAATATCTTCTTCTTTTTAATATTATTTTATTTAAGCTTATATAAGTTTTAAATTATATGAAGTTAGATTTGACAAATATTTTCTCGAGAAAAAATTTTATATATAAATATGTAAAATTATATATAATTTTATATAATTATATAAAACAGTTCTTTCCCCGAGTTGATTCCCACATTAGTTCATTCTTGATGTAATCGTATTAAAAACTCACATTACGTAACTTGATTAACAGATAACAGATAACAGTTCAAATACGCTGTTGATAAAACATTTTTGCTTGATAATAATATTAGATCATACTTAATGATAATACTTGCTGATATTACATCAGTTATCAATAAATACTGTAAAGTGAAGTCTAAAGTTGTGCAGCACTTGTGTTGCTTCAAAATGTAAAAAAATATAATAGTTAAAATTAAATTGTTCGTAAATAAAAAAATATATATATAGAAAAATGTTCGTTTCTGTTAAAAATTATTATGATTGACATAGAAGAAAGAAATTTAATTACTTTTTTTCTACTGTTAGCCTTTTCAGGTGTGAACTTTTTTTTTTAAACTGAGACATATATTGTTTTATTATTTTTAAAGGTTTGGAGAATCGCTAGATATAAAAATGAAGTCAAAATGTAAAACTTTAAAATAGTAAATCCAAGAAATTAAAAAAAAGAATTGAAAGGATGAGGAGAGAGAGAGAGAAAGAGGGGGAGAGAGAGAGAGAGAGAGAGAGAGAGAGAGAAATTCATAGTTACATTGTCATAGTTTGAAAAAAAAATATCGAACAGATAAAAAACTATAAACCTCAAAATCATTATCTTGTTTTCATAATTGTGACGTCATAATCAAATTTTGACAATGGATTCTTGTTCAGCAAACAACAGTTCGATGGACGTCATTACTCACACTCGTGTTACAAAAAAAAAAGTAAAATTTTGTTATAGTTGAATAACGTTACAGTCCAAGAACAATCTTTCTAAGTAAATAAATTTTAAATTTTATGATTGAATTTATCACAACAGTTTTTCAGTTAAACTTTAAACAATTTCTTTTAAAACTAGCTGTAGCTAAAAATTTATCTTCTTCGATAAATGGAAAAAACTAATTTTCTTAATTTTTCCTCTAATTTAGATTTTATATTTAATTAGATGAAATTAGTTTACGCGACAGAAAATCTGTCATTACATCAATCACGTACTTCGTGATGTAAAATGATGTCGACATCATTTTTGCTGCTTTTAATTATTATGTCAGTTTTAATTTTGTATTTTCACTGTAGTTTTTAATGTATTTCATAGATATGCATTAAACAGAAATGAAAATGTTTGTTGTGCGTTTTCGAATATTATCAACTTAAATAATATATTCCCTCTTATTGATTTAAAAAATTTATTCCTTTTTTTTCTTTGTCCGACCTTAAAATATCATTTTAGGAAAATAACGGAGAGTGTTTCTGATAAATAAGATTGAATATGAAAAGATATGCCATCGTATCGTCACAAAATACAGCAGCTTTTAGAGATATTGAGGAGCAGTGCTTCCTTTATGGAGAGGACACGCTGAATATTGGCCACTAATCACCGTTAATGCTTCCGCAAGCTCTCTGAATATATTTGCTTAAAAGCTCTCAGAGAGGCGAAGCCTACTTGCATAATCGTAGTCATCTAAGACGTTACATGAAAATAATGTTGTAATATTTACGCATAATTTTGATAAATTGTGCCAGCAGCTTATCTTCCTTTTGTATTCTTATTTATATCTGCTAGATTGTAATAATTATGTGCTAGTTTTGAGAATGCCTTTTCAGTCTATGAAAATTCAAGTTGAATTTGTTTATGTTTCTTAAACTCATTTGTTTCTGTCTGATTCATCTTGAATATCTTGTAATCGTGTAGTGAGCTCATCGTTCTTGTGTGTATTTAATAGTTTAATATTGCAATCCATATTTTTTGCTTAATTGTATATTTTTGTGAATCACTGATGCGATTCATTTGCGATTCATATTGCTAAGCTGTGGATGGAGTACATTGCCGTGCTTTCAATTTGATGTATTAATAATTAAAAGAGAGAGAGAGAGAGAGAGAGAGAGAGAGAGAGAGAGAGAGAGAAAGAGAGAGACTATTTAATAAATTCGTCTTTATACAAATTTAAGTTATCTATGATATTAACATGTTAATTAAGCAATACATATAATTTAGAATATTGTTTAATCAATATCCATTGCCGTGTTTAACACTTTAAATTAACAATCTCTAATATTCTCTTATTATTTATTTCGTATCAAGAAAAGAAGAAGGGAAGATTTGCAACGCGAAAGGAAAATGCAAGCATATATAAGATAAGTGCATCAGGAATGAGTTCGAATTCAACGTCATTATATGCGGTTTTGCTCGACGAATAATTATACATTTAAACTTACAAAATGTTTAAACTTACAAAATAAATAGAACTATATAATAACGATGTAAAACGCGTAGTTGATTCGATTGGAACGTAAATGGAACATGAACATAACCGATTCTTACAGAGATGCGAATTGATATAACGCTTAAATGTACACTGGTAGCGCAATACTACTTTACAACTTTAATGATCGCTCGGCATAAGAAGCCGCAAGTAAGTACAAAAGGCAATGAGACGATGAGCAACAAAAGAGACAAAGCATAACATTCGGAAAGAAATGTAAGTATTTCTCTTCGCTTCCGACAGAGACGGAGTTATTTTTGCATCCTTGTGATGTTAGACCTCTATTATTTAAAAAATTAATTTTTTTCAGAATTCTGTACAGATTTCCGATAGTTTCAGAGTTCTTAATATATTTTAAAAATAGTCCCGTTCGAGAAATTAAAAAAAAACGAAACTAAATACTTAATAAACTGGTAATAAAAAAATAATAACAATTTGAAAATACTAGTTTAATGCAATTTTCACATTAAGATTTTTTTATAGAACTTTGCGAGGGCCAGAACTTTCAACAGAATTCATAGAAATCTCTAAAAATATTTTTAATTTTATAATTATCAATTAGTTCACACCTATAGCTTGTAACATTTTCATTTAATTTTAGACTTTTGTCATTAAGATTTTTGATCGAATTCTGCGGGGGCTATTCAGAATTTTCAATAGAATTCCCTGAACTTTTTAATAACTTTTCTTTTGATTTTACAACTACCAAATTTATACCTACACTCATCCGTCACTTTTTTTATTTTAATTCTAGATTTTTAAGATTAGGATTTTTTTATCAAATCTGTCGAATTAAAATCGAAAAAGCTACGGGCGCTTATAGCTGTTGATTTTATAGTCTTAAAGTACAAAATTTCTTTTGAAAGTTCTAACAATTATATTAAAAATTCTAGATATCTCCTTCGGAGATCAAAATTTTTATTAACAAAATTCTATAGAATTTATGTCAAAAAGTTACAGACAGCTCTAGGTGTCGACTTGATAGTTGTAATATTAAAAAATTTTTGGTCAGTTCTAATGACAGTTTATAGACTTCACAGAGTTCCATAAAAAATCTTAATGAGAAAATTGCATTAAATTATTATTTTTCAAGTTGCGACTATTTTTTAAGTATTCAATCACATTTCTATGTGTTAAATCCCATTTCTTTTATTTTCTTTAATGGAACTATTTTTAAAATGTATTTAAAAACTCTAGAATCTAGTATGAAATTTGTCCAAAACTCTATTTAAAACATGATCATATATATCGAGAACAGGTCTGTGTGAAGTTAACCTCTTTTATCTTTGAATCGCATTGTCATGCTTTCAATGGCAAAAACTATTTCTTAAAACTATCAAGAACTTGGAAACTACATTAGAAATCTACATAAAACTTTAAAAAAAAGTTAATTTTTTAAATAATGAAGCTAGCTTTATGGTTATTTTTGTTGATTCCGCGGAGTTTTTAAAATTGCAGTTAAAAATTTCACGTTTGTTAATCTCGCTGCTATCCAGAGCAAAATGAATCGAGGCGGATACATTTATTTAATTATTTCTAGAATGTACGCGCTTTCATTTTCTCTCTCTCTCTCTCTCTCTCTCTCTCTCTCTCTCTCTCTCTCTTTCTCTTTCTCTTTCTCTTTCTCCCTCCCCATTCACTCATTCATTCAGTCGAGGAAACGGAAATATCGACTCTTGGATAATAATTAAAGTACGGTACATATCGATTCGTACAAGCGCGGTAGCTACGTCGATTACTTGCTCAGATTATTTCTCCCTCTTTTCATAATTAATCGAGATGTATTCGTGTGAGCATAAACGATTTATGAATTGTAAACGGAAGGTCAAGAGTCCAGCGCGAGATAATCAGTATGTAAATAATTAACGCACATGCGAAAAGCATGACAAAGAACATTCACCACTAATCAATATCCCTTAAGTATATAACACAACTACCGTTAGCTCGTTAAAATTTCAATGTTTTCAAGCGCAAGAAATCCTGTTGCTGCTCGCGTTTGGGAAATACGATTGACGGACAATTCTTTGAATATACATTTGTCAAGAAGATCAAGACGTTCTGTGAATAAGGAATATGTATTATAGTTAAAATCGAGCAGCCGGTAAGTTGGTAGATCTGAGAGATACATATGTTTGGGACTGAGGGATGGTTCTGGGTGAAGAGAGACACTACTTCTTTTAAATATAAATTATATAAAAATTATATTTAAACTTAATACATAGGTAAGTATAGTATAATGTTAATTAAAAGAAACACCTCTCTTATTTCTTAATCTCTCTGAACATCTCAATCTCTTCGACATCTCAATAAATCTGAATTTTTCTCTGTCGGCTCAATTCTAGCCTTCTCTGTCGCTCTATTAATGTCAACCTCTGGAGAGCCACCTTCTTTCTCTACTTCCATATCGTTATTGGTTGCGTTCTATCTTATTTTCTTGCGTTCTTTATTCGCGTTTAATTCGAAATCAAATTTGATTTCCCACATTCCCATTCGGTCTTCCTGCGATCATCAGATGATAGTGTGTTAGTTTGAAATCCGTTTAACGCTTGAGATATTTGACACAAATATTGCTGGCTCTAAGACCTTCCTGAACTTTTTCTCGTATCACGTCATAAGTGTTATTTGATTTGACTCTGGTTATTCTATAAGGTTCTAGATATTTCGGTTTAAATGTAAGTTCTGATCCGAGTTACATTCACTCCACAGCGACTAAATCTTCGACTCGATATTGATGGGCTTCAAAGTTTATTAAAGTTTTTCCGATTTTCGTCTCGAACTTTTATGATTTGTTGAGTCTCTTCTCGTATAGTGTCTTTTTCCATCTTGAACTGCTCCATTGCATCGTCCTGCAAGAGTTCGAATATTTTATAATTTGTCTTGTTACGTATAACGTTGTACACTAGTTGTCGTACACTAGTTAAAGGTTTAAATGGAATCTATTTAATATTTCCTTGATAAATACGTAGAGTTGATAATTTTTTGTACAAAAAGATATGCTGATCGACCATTTCATGGAGCTACTTATACACAACTTGGATAGATATTTACTACAACAGCGTTGATTCTCTCTATTTGTCCATTCGCAAAGGATAGACCTGTGTGTGTGTGATGATGAACTTCAGCTTGATATCAAAAGACAGGTCTCGCGCCAAGTGTAAGCAGTGAGTAAACCGCACTATATCTTTATGCGAACCGGCGAATTGCGAGCATCCGGGATTATTAGACCTCTCAATAAATGACTGAATCGATCAACTTTTGAGTAATCTCAATCGACAATTTAAATTATATATAATCCCTGATAAAAAAATTTTTTATTCCACATTTTGGAACATTTTAGTGAAATTGCTGAAAGTTTGCTATGAAAGTGAATGTTTCAACTAATCATACTAAAAAGTCGCTGAAATTGAACTAAAATTTCTCTAAAATTTTATTGAAATTTCTCTTAAATATTTGTTGAAATTTCTTTGAAATTTTGCTAAAAATGAATTTTTCAGTTAAAATTAAACTGAAATTTTTTTTAAATGCTGAAATTTCACTGAAGTGTTCCAAAACGTGAAATAATTTCAGCGAAATTTTTCCATCAGAAATAAAACTGTTTTTATTTTCTACATACCCTACTAACGGAGATATTGAGGCAAAATCCGAAATGTCAAAATTTCACATTAAGATATGTCATTATCATTATCATCATCATCATCATCATCATTATCATCGTCGCCCTCGGAAATCCTGTCCGTTTCACATTTTAACCAGCAGATGGCACTCGCCTGTTGCGACACTTACTTACGGTTTCACTGTATCGATATATCGATAGCTAGCTCACTATCATCCGTGGCATCGCTTCGAAAATTAGATTTTTTTAATTTATAAAACTTGCGCTTGATTATCTGCGCTGACTTTTATTTACTTTGTTATTTGTTTTAATTATTATTATTTATTGCTTATTTATTCAGTATGATCGCGATTTATAGATTATCTCATTGAATTTATCAGTACACGATAGGACATGGTTAGGTATTAGCTGCGTTCAGCAGAGAAAGCAGCTTTGCAAATGTTGTAAAATTCTTCAATAAGATTGATTCTTGCTAATATTCTTGAGGCTTCCACGAGTGCTTTCTATATAAAAATTAAGCGTTTCGCGAGTTTTCCCTGTGTCTAGATCCATTCTTGGAATGCCAACGTTGGCAGCCATTAATGTATTATATTAGCTGTATTATTACACATTTATGAAGTAATTTAGGTAGGAATACACGGAAGATAGGCAAATAGGCACGAATAAATAAAAATACGAGTAGGTATAGAATGATAAGTATGGATATAGGTAGGGATAAACACAATAATTTTTAATTAAAAAATTAAATTGTTATAAATTAAATAACATTTGAATAAATTTCGTTATCGGATAATTAAATTTTATTTTAAAAATAAATACTATTGATAGATGGAAGATGGTCGTTTTTAGGTGTAAAAAAAGATGTTAAATTTGAATAAAAGGCTATTTTATTATTAATTTAAGTTATTATTAAGGTAATACTCCAGATTAGGGGACTCTCCTCCAATGACTTTGACTTTGACATACATTGTCACTATATAAAACAAAAATTTCCTACTTTAAAATATATTTTACGACTATCCATACGAAGTGACTTTCATCTCACTTCCCCCCCCCCCCTGTTTAGAGGCGCACGACTTTCACACGAAGCGACTCCCATTCCACTTTCTCCCTCCCTATGCTTAAGGATGCATTAGAGGGAGGAGGGTTCCCTAATCTGAAGTATTAGCATTATTAATGTAAAAATTATTATTATTATTACTAATACTGAAGACAAATATATATGAAAAACGTAAAATACATTTTAAAAAATATGTAGAAAACATTATTTTTCGCCACCGCAATCTCAGTACACATATAGAATCTGTATTTATCACACATGAGCATGACGGACATTATTTCCTTATCATTTTTTTTAAATCCTTATTTGAAGGACATAATCCACATCTTGCTTATTTTTATGCAATTTAATGCAAAAATATGAATCATAAATTTTTTTAACGAAAACGATAAGTTGGTCACATTTGCTGACCTTTGACCCAGGAAAGAAACTTTTTGCACGAATGGCTGTTAGACGCATACTAACACGGTTAGCCGAAAAAGCTAAGCATCTCTCTCGACAGCTTTAAATTTTCAATAGATAGCAGATACGCTATAATATAGGAACACTACTTTTGAAGGAAGGTTTTGAAATCTATTGTCAAAGATAATGCTCGGATCATTTTGATTCGTGGTGATCCTAAAAATCAAATTTTAAAGTATTATATACTGGCGAAATTTGTTACTATATATATATGAAGTGTATTTTACACAGAATAAAAATTTGTTGAACTTTGAGCCGCCGTATTGAGTCCGTTCGATTTTTTTAATTTTTAGGTTCGAAATCATTCAGAATAATTAACGATTCAGAATAATATTACGCATATTGTAAAGAAATCTAAGTGAAAGAAATATTTTTTTGTTATTTTCAAGACATATATTGTAACATATATGTGTGCGTATGCTTCAAAGGTTAAATGAAAATATTTCATTCCACTCTATATCAGCTTCCAGCACTTACTTACCATTAATGGCAATGTCTTGTGATACTGGATTACGTTTGTTGCTGTATTCACCCGTTCACTCCTCATCATGTTTCTCTCTCCTTTATCGATGTCCGCGATGTAGATGGAACAGATGAAAATGGCAACGAAGAGTAAATGGGCTGTAGAAATGTTACCGTATTAATGGTAATATACTACGCTGAGTTCAGAGATTGAGAGAGATAGAAAAGCAGTGAAGAGTTTTTAGGGAAAAAGAGGAAAATTTTGTTATGTGCTCGCATAGCCGTGCCAAGCTGTGCCGTACCCATAATTGGTAAGTAAATTAAGTAACGTCGTTAAGTATGCCGGTGATTTCATTCATCTGTCAAAGAAGTTTATATCGCTTCGGAAAAGAAAAAAACAGAGATGACGACGCCATTGTATTTAAGTATTTAAATCTAAATCATAACTGAAATCTTAATTTTCACTATCAGGATGTATTCAATTAATTCTCGAAATCTATTTTTTATTGATGATATTGATGTGTCGAATATTAGTATAATTTGAACTGTTGCATTAAATTCTTTTTCTTTATTACTCGCTTAAACCGTTGGATTTCTATATTAATTTTCAATTCTCCAAAAGTAAAAAGTAAACATAAGGTAATATTGAAAGGCAAGAAGTATTTTCTAAATAAGGACATTTCTTAAGATGGGTAATAAGAAAGCGTTTTTAAGCTTTCTCCTTTGAACAGTAGGATAATATCGTTTTAAACGGTAAAGTTTAAGTTAAAAGAAAATATCGAAATCCATTGCGCAAAAAGCAATCGCAATATTTACGACAGTCGTGATTTATGATTGATACCAAGCAATTAATATCCAAAAAGAACAGATTGACATATTCTGTAAAAGTTTACATTATCAATGAGGATCCATACAGCATAGAAGCTTGCAGCAACATTGCTATAATATTTTCAATATTACTGCAATATTGCTGGAATAATTTGAACTGTATAGGTAAGGTTGTTAATTTTCACCTAAAGAATATCGCCAGCACTAGCAGCTCTCGTGGTCCTTGTTGCTGGTCCCATCTGATTGTTCGAGTTTGCCGTTGGCCTACAATAGATAATCTTTCGGAAGGCTTTTCGGAAGTGATCGCTCAAAAAGGCATACAGGAAGGGATTAATACAGCTGTTAGTGTAGGCTAGGATATGACTGACTATCTGCACCATTATCGTCGCCGTAGTAAGCGGATACATGTCCAAGGACTTAAGCACCAGTATCATCTGCAACGTGATGTTGCGGATATGATATTATGGATAATAGGGTAATAATAGGGTAACAAAAAAGAAGAAAAATCATCTGTTCCGGACAGGTCTCTTTACCTGTATAGGGCACCAGCAAAAGGCGAAGACGACGACGACGATGACGACGAGTCTGGTAACCCGTCTTCTTCCGCGTCGGTTCTCGGCACTGGTGCGTACACCTCGCCACAACCTGGCCAACATGAACATGTAGAAAACGCATATCAACACCAGGGGCATCACGTAGCTTGATAGGAAGAAGGGCACTTGGTAGGAAGTCCAGTCATATTGATCCAGAATTCGGCAGGCTGTCAAATTTTGTCCTTGGAAAATGTAGTGAATCTACAAATACACGATGCATTATAGAACATCTGAATTTGTAATGTTTAAATGTTGCAGTTGGGATGCAGTTCACGGCATGCTTACCTCGCCATGGATCACGAAGGCAGGGATGGATAACGTTAAAATCATTACCCATAGAATACAGATCGCATGTATGGCATGAGTCTCCGTTCTCCACGACATAGAAGCGATTGGATGCACGACTGCTAGATATCTGCAAGCAATTCCCTATCTTAACGTGACTTATTTCCGATAGAGTATTATAATTAGTTTGAATAATTAACAGCGGAAGTTAAACTTTCATTTTAGCAGTTTTTTAAAAGATAATAACTTAAAAGACGCACGAAATAAATAATGTTTTCTATCACTCCATTTTTTTTTTAATCTAGTGTAAAATTATACTGAGAATCAGTTTGCAAATTAATTTAAACGTGACACTTAACCCCTGATGTTCTATTTTTAAACTATATTCAAGTTAATCCATGTTCCTAGTACTAGCATTTAAGTATCAATTAATTTAAAAGTAATTCCTGCTTTTTCCTTTGTATTTGCCTTGAGAAAAAAAGTTAAGAAAAGGGGGTTAAAAGGTTCCTTTACCACATAGTTTTATGTTGTTCTGACTTAAAATAGGAGATGCAGAAAATTGATTAAGAAAAATCGATTAACTGCTTGCACGTGAATTTTTACTTAACTTGACAACGAGGAGACATTAATGAGATTGTAACTTATATGGGAAATAGAGTTTAATCTTAGAATTTCAAAGTATTTCTTAATGAAATATTTTTATTTGCTCTCGTTTAGATAACGTATCGTTAATGAATTATGAATTTAATATCATTATTCAACGTTTTTTTTTCATTAATGGAGAGTTTCTCAAGATTATCGAATGATCGCGAAATGCTAGCATGCGGCGAGATAGAACCGTCCAGAACAGATGTTTTCTTTTACTGCGCACGCTTGTTCGTTGTCAATAGGTCTGGTCTTTTTAGCTAAAGTTCTTGCACCGTTTATCTTCACGTTGGAGAGAAAAAAAGAAAAGATAAACTGTGCAAAAAGTTCAGCTAAAGAACAGGCCTAATGCCACTTATAATGAACAACTTCCTGCGTTTAGCAACGTATGTACAAAATCGAATGGATACGCGATCTTTATAATAATTAATGTTTCATTAATTATTGAGAAAATGGATCTTTTATTCAGTTTAGTCCGTTCTATCTGCACACGAACTTTGTCAATAATTAGAATACACGCAAAATATCCGTTAATTATCGACAAAGTAGAGCCGACTAAACTATCGAAAAATCTTGTATCATTTTAATATTTTCATAATAGTTGACAAGAAGTTCATTACTAAATATCGCCAAATGAGCGCGTATCTGTCTGGGCTATCATCAGTTGCAAGCGCATGGGATTATTCTTGTCAAGCGGCAAAGACCACACACGAACGGTGCGCGCGAGGTGCTGAAAGATGGACCCTTTGATTGTGAGTTGATTGCAGGGTTGGGAAGTAACTAATTACTTATAACTAATGAGGAGAGATCCAGGTATCTAGGATTTTGGAAAATTTGATATTAAGATAGAGATAGATATTAAGATAGAGATAGATATTTGACATATATTGTAAAATGTAACATTTAAGAGCCAATGGGCCAAAAGATCAAAGTTAAAAATTTTAAAGTTTGGCTGCAGGCGTGACAGATATCATAGTAAACGGCTGGTCATTATTGTGTGTTCAAGACAAACTAAGTGATATTTTATTTTTTTCTTTTGATCTTCTTTTTCCCTTTTGATCTTTTTAAATGATTTTTTTCTTATTTTATTTCTATTTTTTGATGAAGGTTTATATCTAATTCTTATAAAAATAAATATTTTTGAAACATTAATTTTATTAGTGGTGAGGTATCATCTCATTGTAGAATTTAACTATTGGATTTAACAAGCGATGTGAGCGACATATTTCTTCTCCATTTGAGAAATAAATAAAAGAATTATTTTTCTATTCATTTCTTAAAGAATCTTTAATTTTTCGAAGTCTTTATTTTAGAAATTATATATATTACGTAAAATAAAAATTTACAAATAACTTTTTTACTCAATTTCTCAAAAACTTTTTGTTATAATTAAAACGCTATAATAGATCTACATGGATATTGGTGCGTAATGTCAATTTATTAAAATGACATATATTCATCATTGATTAAATTACAATTTAATACTCAAACGTTTCCCAAAATTTTGGTCCTTCTCTTTGGTGTAATTGTTAATATTACAAATTTTTAAGTGAAGAACTCATTAATAAAATTATTTAAGATTATCTAATCACAATATAAAATAATTATTATAGTTATGTGTCGAAAATTATAGACAATTTTATTAGTCGATCTAGTGATTCTTCCTTTCATCATAATGATAAAGATATCAATATAAGTTCCAAAAGTCGATTGTAAACAGTGGTTAATTAGTAAACCGATCATTGTGCACATCTCTTAATAAATTGACATTGCGCACCATTAACCACATAGGATTTATTATGGCATTCTAATTATTTCCTTATTAGATTGATTCTTTGAGCCGACATTTATACATTCTTATTATTAATTTTTTGTCATAATATCTTGAATTTTATTATATTATATTATGAATTTTAGAACACCCGGTATATTCATTCTTATTGATAATCATTGTCTGCACACAAGTGTACCTAAGTGCCACATCTGAATTTTACTTTCAATTTAATTCTTCAAAATATACTGTTTTTCAATATTATAAATAATAGTCTATTAATATTAGTAAGGTACATTATTTACAATAAAGTTTAATTTTGGAAGTATATTAGCTCTATCAAAGCTCAATACTGCAAAAAATGATCTTGACGTACTAACCTGTCGAGACTCATTAGTATCAGGGTGTAAACGCTAGCGTAAGCCGTGACAATAATCATATACTGAACGATCTTGCACCAGACATTGCCAAACGGCCAGTATGGTAATACGAAGTCGGTAGCCGTGAACGGTATACAAAACATAACGAATAACAGATCAGCTACGGCGAGGTTGATGATTAGGATATTCGTGGTCGACCTCATTCCAGGATTTGCCGCCACCACCACGACCACCAGCAAATTCCCGACCAGACCGAGAATTCCAATTATTCCAAAGAATAATGGTACTACCACCACTAGAATTCTATGCACGAATTCGTATTCAAATTCGTGATAGTTTCTGCAGGTCTCTACATCGCCCTCGAATGAAGTAAACTGCGTACTGCAGTTAAGCGCATCGCTCGTGTTTGCCACTTCCAGGTTCATATTCTAATCGAGGTCGATCTGCGATCTGTGATTAAATTAACATGTGCGATCTCTTTGTAATTGCATCACGATAAACTTGTTAAGCCGAGTTGGATGAAATAGGAACTCTGCGCAGCATATACATTATAGCGATAATAAAATGGATCGAAAATAGAAGCGAGAATATTCTTTCTTCCAGCAAAGTTTATTCTAGCTAAACGATGCACTAGCAAATTGTCAATTGTAAACATTCATTAGCAATAGTGTTTATAATTGTCGATTCATTGAGACAGCGTTTTTTTTTACGGCATCATCCTCCATTTCGAATCTTTCTTTAAATTTTGAGAAATTTCAAAGATTAACAAATTTCAGAATGATAAATTTTAAATATCGGTTGTACTCTTTGTATGAGACACGTTAACATATTTTATTTATTGAATTTTGTTTTTTATTCAAATTATTAAAAAATGCAAATAAAGTAATAATTTTACGATAATTATGATACTAATTAAATAAGAAAATTTCTGTATTCGATTGAAGCGGATCTTAGTGCTTAAATATTTCTGTGAGAATTTATATACATCTGATTCTGATGTAAACTGCGCCGAATTTTTTCTCTCGGTCTTGAAACGTATTTATGAATAAAACAAGAGTAGTAATGTCACTTATTAAATTAACAAGCAATTTAATAATTTTTTTAATAATAAATATCTTTACAAGAATATTAATAATAATATGTTAATGAGAATCTAAATCTGCGAATAATTTTATTGCAAAAAATATTGCCTCCACAGGCAATATTTTAAACCTGGAACTCTCAACTTTCTGGGACGGACATTATACTATTCGACCATCGAGGCTTCGGCAATATTTGTCGTAATGGCCAATATCTAATAAGCAAACGTCATATTTCATGGAGACCCGTAATAAATGATATATTACGAATATGAATATGAATTTGAACTTCGGATCATTAACATATTAATATTCTTATAAAGATGCTTATTAGCATTAAAAAATTATTAAATTGCTTGTCAATTTAATATTACTATTGTGGTTCTGCTCACAATACATTTTAAGATCAAGAGCACGCACAGAATCAGATATGCACCTATATAAATTTACACAGAATATTTAAACACTAAAGATCCGCTTTGACTCCGAGTTTTCATAATTAGATTTATTCTTATCAATTCGTATAATTGTTAGATATGCATATTGTAAATCATAATATTAATTTGATTTATTGGTTCAACTGCATATATAAGGGTATAAAAGATATCTGCACTATATAATTTAAATAGTAAACTTTGCAACATTTGTTTACCGCCGCATAGAATTAAACTTGCGGACTGATATTCAAATCACATCATTCATTTCGTCTGGAAATGTGGCGATAAGTTTTTTTCAGTAAATCGTTCGTTCGAATAGATTGATTATTATAAACACGTCTAATAAAAATAGAATAACGCAAAAGCGTTAAATAATGTTAACATAATTTTCTAAAGGAGCTTTCAAAATAGTTTGTATAATTATATTGTGATTTTATTTCGACATGTTAGCACATATTTTAAAAAATATAAGAACAGGTTTAACAAGGCTCAGCAGATTCAAAAATTAAGAAACAATGAGCCAAGTGCAGGAAGTTTGTGCTAGTAAAATTATTTCTCATAAAATTAAAATTAATAATCTCAAAAGTTTTGTTTTTACATTAAGCCATCTTCCTTCATTGAAAGCAAAATTGATACAGTATAGTAAAGAGTACTCTGTAAATCATGTAAATAAATTCTATGATTAATTATCGTTGCTCGCAAATCAAATACAATCAACTTACAGTAATGTAAAATCAAAATTTGGCAATGCTGCAATTAATAATTGTCGATTGTAGATCAAATAGATGCACTAACACAATTAACGGATGTGAAGGACAATGATGTAAAGTTAGTGAAAATTTAAATAATTCTTGTCGATCAAATGTACAAAAATATATGAAATGCTACTATAGGGTGTAATCCGTAAAGAGAAAGATAATTTCACGTTGTAAATTGTACTTTAAATAAAGTTGATACAATAGATGATAGAATCACAGAAAGCATCCGCGTATCACCGCGCACCGCGCTGAACTGCCGTTAGTTCCGAGGGTGGTTTTGTACTGCGAATTTCCGATAGTCGGCAGTGTGGCGCGACTATAGGAATAGAAGGGGCGTGAACGATGGCGACGGAGGAAATACGAAGTGCCATCTGCTTTGCACGTCAATGTTCCGAAATAATGATTATCTACAAAAGAATATAACGCGAAATAAAAAGTTATTTATTCAAACAACTGATTTCATCTTTTGGAAAACCAGAATGGACTGAGAAATTATTATATTAGGAATTATTTTATATTTTTAAATAAAAATAAACTTTCCTTTTCTTGCTTAAGGCTTTATAATTATTTATTTATTATTAATTTAATTTATCATTTATTTTTTCTCTATAGTTCTTATTATTAGGCATTTATTTTCAATTTATATTGATTAATTTGCTCTCTATTTCTATCATAAATTAGATATGTTAATATATGCATATTGTATTAGCTTAGAGGAGAAGGTGATATTATGGCACCCCAGTTACATTTTACACAATAACTGCATTAATAATCAATTAAAACTTGACAATTACATTCATTAAAATTGAATTCTGGACTCAAAGTTACGAAATGTTTATTACTTAGGATACTATTAATAAAAATGTGGCAACATTGCATAATGACTCGAAGAAAAATATGGATGGTAATGTGGCCATAAAAATGTAGTCTTAAAATATTAATTTTAAAAAATAGTATTTGGTTACACAAAATTAACAAAAAAGTAAAACATTTTGCAAATGTATGCAAATGAATGTAATATACATTCACATAACTTCTACATATAAGCTACTCAGTATTAAAAATTTCAGTACTAAAAATAGTACACATAATATAAATTATAGATTACCAATAGAGCTACAATCGATTATAAAATAATTTTAATACGAAAACTTCAAGAAAGAAGTCGTGAGTCAATACCTATAAAGGACTACATTAGCAAAATGCCATGCTATTGTTTAAATTTGCATAACTCAAAATATATACAGTCAAATAAAATATTAAATAGCAAATAACATATCACAAAAATACATATATTTATGTGATAATACGCTCAAGTTTAAGAAAAATAAGGAAGTAAGTGTAATTAAATGCTAAAATGTATTTCAGAGAAATGTTTCGAAATACTTGAAAGTAAAAATGCATTATAATAAGTGTTGGCTATATTGAGTATTGATAAATTAGCGTCGTGGCGAACTTCTGAAATAATTCTATAAGTAATCATTAGAACTCATTATATAATAGCGGAGATATTAAAGAAGGCCACAATATATATATATATATATATACACACACACACACACACACACACACACACACACACACACACACACTGGTCGTACAACACCTTCTCCTCTATATATTTTTATGAATTTTTAATTTATTAAATATTATTTTAAAGTTCCCCATATTATTTTGTTAATTAGACTGATTAAATATTTTTTTAATTATAATGAAATCAATAAATAACACCCAAATATACATTGTTAAATTTATAGAACCTGGAGTGTAATGAAACCACGTAATGGAGTATAATCGATAACTTTTTACAGAGATAATATTATGTAATGCAATTAATTATTCTTCAAAAATATTCTTATTGAAGAATAATTATTCTTCCTATTTCAACCCAAATAATGGCGGCTTCAATTCTCTCTGTCAAAAATTACTTCTCGAAAAAAACTATAATACTATTAGGTGTTGGAATTAATTCGTAGCGTTTTACAAGTGATGGGAAGTACTTTCATTAATGTATTTTTTAATGCTCATGTGAAATAAATAACATTCTTTCATTTAAAAACGCTACGAATTAATTCCAACACCTAATAAATTAAAACCCAACTCTGTCTTATCTAAGCTCGTTTTTCAGAGGAGACGTTGCGTCATTCATGGCTAAAAGAAGAAGAAGAAGAAGCAGAAGAAGAAGAAGAGAAAGGTTCGTCCGTGAATGAAGGTTCGTTCGTTGTTCGTCGCGTGGAGAGCGAATACCGTTCGATATCGATTGAGCCGATTATTCCGAACGGTATTTGCGCTTGTCGCGAACAGCAGTACAGTATAAGTACATACAGTATGAACACTAAGCGTCGGCATCTTTGATGTAATGAGTCCCAGGTTTGGTTGACACATGATTGACAGATGGACACATGATTGGTCACATGATTCGCCTGTTGTGGATTGAATTGGCACTTATAAATTTTTTATAGTTACAGAATGATTTTTCTAAAAAAAAAAAGACAATTCGGTCGTATCATAAAAATTATTTATAGTGATTATATTTTTAAATCAGAATTATATAATAATATAATGTTAACAAACTCATTATATAAAGATAATATTCACATTAATACAATAATAATATCAAAAAGTAATAAATAAATTAAAATAATAATTGATTAAATACTATATTGTATTATAATTGAATAATTATGTATGAAAAAATAATATATTGCATGAAAATTAAATGTAAAGTTGAATTTAATATACACAAATGCATATTTTACTACGAGAAATACTTTATCGTATACAAATATAACAGTCTGCACAAAATATAGCGTCTCCAAAAAAATTTGATTTAATATTTTAATAAAACTACATGTAGCACGATTATATGAACTAAATATCGATTTATCATCTCTAACCTTGAAAAGTGGATGATGTATTCTAAGAAAAGTGGACGTTGCTATGTAATTTACATTCACTTTGTCAGAGGACAGTAGTGCGCGGCAGCATTTTGCGGTCACAGGTTTTGAGCTGTTATGTCCTCTCTGAGGTTTCTTTCTCTCTGGTCAGAATATCCATACACAGAGAGAAATCTGAGAAAAACCATGCTGGTTTTTTTCCTGTTACCGTCAAAATCGTCTGTACACTACCGCCATACATCCATTTTCAATTTGAGAACTACGAAAATATATATTTTGACACTGTCGATAAAATTGTATCATCGAAAGTGGTTCGTCTCTGTAATAAATCCTCAAGACAAAAGTGTGCCGACTGTATCCATAGGAAGGATAGTTTAATGGGTCCTTGAACGAAAAAATTTTAATTTCGCAAAATTGTTAAATTTTCATAAACAAAATTGAAAATTCAAACAAGATAATTTTGTGAATTTTGTCTTATAACATTTTATAAAATTACGAAGTTAGTTGTTTTTTTATGCAAATTTTCAATCCGTTTTTACTAAAAATAATTACTATAGTATAACTCTTTTATTTTAGAATAAGATGTGAATGATTTCTTATTTAAAATTTTAAATAAGTCGTATCAGTCTTTTTACCGATTCTTCGATCGGTAACAATTTTATATTTTAAATAAATTTCTGAAATTTATTTTATACATTTTATTTTAAATAAGTCGTAACAATTATTTTACCGATCCATGACATTGTACGTAAGTTTAAAGAAACACAGAATAATTTACAGCAACAGTAGCATTAATTAATTATTTAGCTGAAAAATTAAATAATGATTAACAAAATATTTAATACTTTTATCAAAACTGTATCAAGCGCAAATTGTTTCGCAATATTAAGAAAATTTGCACATATATTTTTATAAAGGATGTATAGAATATTATTATATCAACCTTTGTTTAAATATGAATTATTTAAAATATTTTAAGAGTATAATAAAAATTGAGACATAATGTACCGAGAGAATATTAATATTAGAATATTAATAATACCTTACTCACACGAATAATTATCAATTACGTTTATAAAAAGAACCGCAAATAATATAGGATTAAACTAGTGCCAGAGATAGAATTAAACTAATGCTACAAAGCAAAGCGCGAAATGTACGACAATACCCGTTTGTCAAAATCATGTAAAACATGAATAAATGAATAAACTATGAATATTTTTCATTTGCAATAGTAGGATATCTAAACAGCGCGAAACGAATAGCGAGGAGTAGGAGAGCATGCCGCGCGGCGCGGTGGTTGACTACGTCATCACTTCGGCATTCGCTCAGTGACCTCGGAGCGAGATGCACGTAGTACGAAAAGTTCCGCATTAATTAATTAACATGTCGCATTAATTCATGAAAATTAAATATCTACGAACGCGAATTAATTAATGCTCATAATTTGTAACCCGTGAACATGTCAAGCGACTGTCGTTTGTATACATATAATTATACTATCATACTCTCTAAATAGGCGTCGAAATATACGGCAGTTTACAAATTAAGAATTGTCACGTTTAGATATCGGTACTTGTCCTCTTTAATAGTCATGAGAGATAGCACGTCGAGGACTTTGTATATATAACTATCAATTTTCAGATCGAAAACGTATGATGCATGAATTAAAATTTATTGAATTACCGGATAGTACGATTAAAATAATAAATAAAGGGTGTCTCAAAATGATCTGACATTTTAAATTGCGCGCTATTTTTTTTGCAGCGAACGTAACGTACTAACCTTTAACAACTGGCATCAGGAAGTATTTGGTATCAACTAATACGCTGACAAAAGGTAAAACGTTAACAGTAGTTTTTTTTTTACTACAGTGTGATTCTTCCCTTTTTTTTTCCAAAATAGCTCACATAAAGTGTTTCTGACATTTCAGTGTCATATTTCAAAAGTAACAAAAGCCACAGGGCGTCAATGTTTCATTTCTTAAAAATATTGTGTACACTGCGCGGATTTTGGTTAATAAAATTATTAAAAACTAAATTACATTCAATTGTAACACAATTGAAATACGTAATATATTCATGAGCCGTGTATAATCTAAAGAGTATGCGAAATAAATCTAAGAAATAAAACAAAAATCGTTGTAACAAAGCCTATTGATCGGAGAATATTAAAAATGTAAAGAATTTAAGAATATATTATATTACTTACTTCGTAATACGCGTTAATATTTCGATAGAAGGTTTAGAGCGCTACTATAGACGTCTATCAAAAATT